TGGCGCAAAAGGCTACTACACTGCCTCTCGCGGACGTGTAGGTGGTGGTTGTGGCAAGCAACGTGCGAGTGTCAGTGGACGCAGTGCTACAGTTGAAGCAGATACGCAGATGGGGCGCACATGAAACTTACCATTAAAAAAGATAGCCTTTTTTTTTTAACGTATCACTAAAAAATTCGGACTTATCTAGGTGTCATGACACTTTATTTCTTTATCCTCAAGCCATTCTGTCCATTTTCGCTGATAACGGTGTGTAACGGCGAAGTGAAAAGACCCAAGTGCCCTCAGTCTAGGGAGGATGAGTGAAATTGCCGTTTACCCTGTGTGCCACTCCCTGACCAAACGTTTGAGCGCCAAGACGGCAACCTAAACCGGCGGCAACCTAAACCGGCAAAAACCTCTTCCGGGTGCCGTGCGACTTCAAGCGATCGCGCGTCCGCCGCCAACGTCACCGGGCAGGCCGCGGCAGCGCTCCGCCTTCTGACAGCGCGCGGGGTCGTCGACGAAACAAGCGGTGACGTCGCGACAACGACGTACTGTGGCGATCGTCCCCAACGCTTTGCTCCTGCTGCGACCAACGGCAATTGCCCGTCACGAGGTCCAAGATGCGTGTCCGCCAACACCTCCACCTCTGGGTGCTGGTGCAGGGCGTGCTCCACTTCACCGGGCGCCGGGCGCCGCCGGGAGGCCTCTGCAGCGCCTGTCGTGTTCGGTGCGCGCGGTGCGCGACGGGCTATTTCTGACGGCGCGCGCCGACGGCTTTGATGGGGCTCGGTAGGGACAAGGTGTCCGTGCCAGCGTGCTTTCCGCCAGCCGGCCTCTCGTCGCGTCCGGCAGCTTTTCTCCATGTGCCCGGCGACGACGGCGTCGGCCAGATCAACTTCGGGCGACGCTGCGCTACCGTGGCGGCTGGCGAGACGCCTTCACCGACCGAGCACACCGTAACGTGAGCTTCACGTCCATCAACGCCGAGACCAGGTCGGTGGTCATGCGGAGTTCGCCGCCATCATAGACTCCGCACGCCCTACACGCATTCTCGGCGATCCGGAGTACACGGAGCTTGCCGCCAACGTGAGTCCTTCCCTTTCCTCTGTGCACGCTCATCGAATGAATGTGATCGATTTCTTTTCTCAAGTTTCTCATGTGTCTGCTTCGAGTTCGTGCGTGCATGCAGTTCAACTCGCTGGTCCGCGAGAGGAGAGCCAATTTCAGCAGCGGCTCTGCAGACCCTTTTCCCTTTGAGTACTGCTACAGAGTCAGGTAGTAAACAACAGGATCTCCACTTCATTGTTCCACTTTCTACAAAAAGTCTCTATTAGCGATTGTTTTGCATCTTCTTCTCAATCTCATCTCGCCATGGTTGTGATCGAGCTGCAGCCCTAACCGATGCAGGTGCTGATCCGACGTGAGCTCGACGGCCAAGGGCGGAGCCACTGTTCCCGGTCACCCAAATTGATCATCTTCTTCTTCCACACGGCCACCGCCGTCGCCGCTGGTCGATCTTGCTCGCCGATCGATCGTGAAGAATGACCTCGGCATCAATCTCAACATCATCGATCTTGTGCTCATCAGGGTGCCGTCTTAGCGCTCAAACGCTTGGTCAGGGAGTGGCACACAGGGCAAACAACAATTTCACTCATCCTCCCTAGACTGAGGGCACTTCGGTCTTTTCTCCTCGCCATTACACACCGTTACCAGCGAAAATAGACGGAATGGCTTGGGGGGCAAAAAAAAAAAAAGTGTCATGGCAACTAATTAAATCCGAACTTTTTAATGGCCTGTAGGAAAAGACCATCTTTTTTAATGGTACACAGGAAAAAGCTCATGAAACTTCGTAGTACTGTGCTATCTCCATGCAGTGTCCTGTCCCCGTGGACTGATGGTCTAGGCGTCTACGGATGGAATTGGACGGCTGGGAGAGCTCCCTGTTTTTCGTTCTTTTTTGGTTAGGTTACCTTTATTCTCTCGGCTCCGAATAGTTTTGAGAAGATAAATAATTTAAATTTCATTAAATCTATAAACAACAAAAATATATACCGAATAAGTGTTATTAAAATAGAGATATGATATTTTCCTTTTCTGAAATTTCTTTGTGTGTAAATTTATCTCGGCGTTTGAGCTCCGTTATATCGTGTTCTCTTATTCAAGTTTACAGGAGTAGAGAGTTGTACGTACAAGATAATTGTTGTCTAAACTTGTTTGGTTTGATTTCGAAGGCAAAGTATAAAAACTACGTGCTTTGGTGGCAATTATTCATGCTTTGTTAGCACTCATGAAAAAGTGGTGATGGCAACAAGCGGTATGTTGTGAGGATCAAATTAAAAAATATTATGGGCCTGATGGGTTAGGCTCCAAAAATTGCCCTGCCAAAATTAGGGCAAGCCAAAACAAGGGCATGCTAAATTCTAGTTGCCAAAACTTAGGTAAGAAATTTAGTATTGAGTTTGCCCAAATTTTGGCTGGGCAAATTTGGAGCCCAACCAAATAACTGCCTTAGTTTTGGGACTGCCCTAGTCTTGGCTAGCAGATTTTGGAGCCCAACCAGTTAGACCCTATATTTTATAATTGTTATTGTATAACACATATGCGAAATTGATTTACTATTGTAATGTTTTGTAAGTTTTCTAGATCTTCATTAAAAGTAATAATGCACTGACAATCACCTATTTGTACATATAGGGAGACAAATGTTTGGCTAACTTATCAAACACTAAAGAATGAACTGCTATTTTTAAGCCGACATCTCCTAATCTTTTCGTATATAAGGGCATGTTTGGATGCACCTCAGCTAAAGTTTAGTTAGCTAATTGTTAGAGCTAAATTTTAGCCAGCTAAATTTTAGCAACCTAAACTTTAGCTAGGGTTGTTTGGATGCACCAGCCAATTGAAGGCTTTCTACCATGCTATTCCATTAGCTGGTTTTAGCTGGGTGCAAACAACTAATGAGATTCTGTACATTTTGACCTCTGGCTAAAATTTATTGGATGCACCATCGCTAAAATTAGCGATCTACTCCCTCCATCCCAAATTGTAAGTCATTCCAATAATCTTGGAGAATTAAACTTTTTCAAATTTGACTAAAATTATAGAGAGAAATACAAAGATTGATGACATCAAATAGGTATAATATAAAAATATAACTAATGAAGAATCTAATAATACTTACTTGGTATGATAAATATTATTATTTTGTTATATAAATTTGGTCAAACTTGAAAAACTTTGACTCTCCAAGATTCTTGGAATGACTTACAATTTGAAATGGAGGGAGTAAAATTTAGCTGGTGCATCTGAACACGGCCTAAACAACTTTATCGTCCGTATTTCATCTGACAGTGCTTTTTTGGAAGGAAAAATACAGTACTACCAGCGGTATCTTGGTAAAGCATGCAGATCTACTTGGGGCCATGCCTCCGCGGTCACGGGGGGAACATGTTTAAAAAATGCACGGTAGCCTTGAGTTTTGAAAACAAAGTATGCCAAGCGAAGGGTGCTATTCCAGACTAGCCGAAAATATTGAAATTTGGCTTACGCTGATGTTTATGCTAGAACAGAAAAAAAATACTATTTTATAGCTGAAAAGTAGTTTTAAATAAGCTCGAGCGAACATGGGACTAGCCAAAACTCGAAAGTGTGTAGGATGTACTGACAAAGTTCCAAGGGTATTTTTTTTAGGGATAGAGGTGTCCCTGCTTTTATATTTCAAAAAGCATAACAGAGTTTTAGGTTCCACAATTTGGCGCGTCCGCCTTACAATTCAGCCTCAAGGCAACATAAGAGGAAAGTTCAAACGATTACTGTCTACAGACAACGGCAAGGGTATTACTCTTTAGATCCAGAAAAAAATACAATTCTAGTACAATGTTATGATTTTGCCTCTTAAGTTCGATCAATTATAGAAAAATATAAATATTTATGATATGAAATCAATATTATTAGATTTATTACGAAATATATTTTTATAATAAATTATTTTGGAGCCGTAAAAAGAATAATATTTACTAGAAATTTAGTCAAACGTGAACTACTTTTACTGGCACGCAACACGTGGTTGTATTTTTTTTTTGGACAGAGAGAGTATTTGGCAAATACTAGTACTATTTCATAGTATAAAAACGCGCGAAACTTGAAATCAAGTGAGTTCGCAGTCAAAATCGGTCTACCTGTCACCCTTACGGCCATACCGGAAATCACGCTCAAACCAGAAGCCTGGACGGAGGGAAGCGTACGTTCCCTCGCGTACTTCAGGGGCGCAGACGCCGTGGCACGCGAACCCAGATGCCAGAGGCCAGAGGCCAGAGGGAGGACTCGTCACAGTCGTCGGTCTCGAACGGTGGTGCGGCGACGCATCGTCCCGCACCATCCGACCTGACGGGTGCGTGCTGTCGCGGCCTTGCCCTCTCGGGCCTGGTTTAGATTGCAAATTTTTACAATTTGGATTACGTTTTGTTTGTATTTGATAAACTTTGTCCGATTATGGACTAACTAGTCTTAAAAGATTTGTCTCGTGATTTACAACCAAACTGTATAATTAGTTATTTTTTTTACCTATATTTAATGCTCCATGCATGCGTCTAAAAATTGATGTGATGGAGAGAGAGTGAAAAAACTTGTAACTTTGAGGCAATCTAAACAGGCCTCGATTCGGTTCGGTCAAAGCAAAAAAAACGTCACCGGACGCGCGATTTCCACCGCTAAACGGTGCGTTTCCTCGGGCTCGCCGACGACCGCAGGGCGAAAGACATGAGTTTCTCAAATAGTTAAATCACATGGCAGAGCACTAGAGCAGTCGCCGAACCGATGGTCCGACGTGCAAGCAGCAAAGGCCCGCACCCAAAAGGCCCATTGCAAACGTGCGAGGCCTTTTGAGCTTTGGACCTGGCCCTTTCCCCTGTCAAGCCCATCTCACACCTAAATTCACAGCATATACTTCACGGCCTTCCCTTGTCAAGCCCGTCTCACCCCCAAAAATTTCCGCGTCATGTTCAGGATCAGAGGGGTCAGCCATGGTGTAGACCGGAGCGGCCGCTGAACCCGCCATTGCCCATGACGGGATTGGTGACGGCGAGGGCGGCCACTGGAGCAGGTGGAGGGGGAGGCCCGTGCTCGGAAGCACCGGGAGACTCACGGACGGCACAGCCGCGGAGTGATCGGCGAGCGCGGCCGACGGCGCGGGAAGGGTTGGTTGCGGCGGGGGCGGTGGAGGCAACGACGCTGGCGGAGGCGGTTGCTGCGTGAGCCCTGTCCACGCGGCCTGCATCGCCGCGATACTCCGGTTCATCAGGGCCATATTCGGCGACAACCTCGGCGAGGGATTCCAGCATGAGGGGCCGGGCACCCGAGGACGCGGGGGACGCGGCTGCAGGGGAGACCGCCGACACGGCGGAGGAAGAGGACGGCGGCAGCGGAAGGATTGGGGGGGGGGACTGGACGGCGGCAGCGGAGGAATTGGAGGAGAACCTGACATCGCCGATACCAGGTTGATAGGATTCCTGATCCTACCAGCAACGTTGCGTAGCTTGTATGGGTGTGAGGGTGGAGGAGCAGGCTTGGGGCCTCGCTGCCGGCGGCTGGGCGCCGTTGCGAGGTTGCAGGCGTGGAGAAGATGAACAGGCGGCTGCTAGGGCAAATCCCGGCTCACAAAGGAAGCTGGAAACAATTAAGATTCTTTTTGCTTAATTCTCAATAATCCCAATTACAAGAATTTATACCATTAAAATATCATTTTGCGAAATAACCTTCAAGCTAATAGGTAAATATTAATTCACTCAAAAAATAACTAGACGGGCCTATTCAGCCACTGTTGGACCAGTTGCGCCTCTTGTACTGTATACCGGTCATAACATAACCACTAATGAATTTTGTCTGCTAGCGCATGTGCACATGAATTTTATTATTTTCATATGATTTTTCTTGGATTGCGATTGAATCTCAAATTTTATGACATGTATACATCTATAGATGTGCATAATTTCAATTATTTTGAAAACTGATAAGTATGTTTTTATAGAAGGTTTTCGCGATTCGATTATAGATGTGATTTGAACTGAATATTTTCCCTTCAGACATACCAGCAAGATCTGATCGTCTGTACACAACTCTTACATCTAAATACATTGGTTGTGTTTCAGATGCAATTTTCTGCACCTAGTGAATTAATAGATTCGTCTCAACCTCCCATGTGCTTATCCTATCTTGAAGTATAACATCTCTACTTCATTACACACAACACAACACCAGCCCTTTTGTAGATCATTAATACAAGACCTTCATCTGAGCAATCATAATATTGCAACCAAAACTTTCGATTGTGTCTTGCGATTGGTCAGTCTTCGGAGACTCTGAGACCAATGAACTGAAATCCAATTGCGAAATACATGATCGATTGAGGAAGAACAAAGAGGTAAAAATAGTCATCTCTGTATAAGTAGTCGAAGCACGCAGAGGCCAAAAGGAATAGCCCGATAAATACCTCCAGGAAATGGAACCTGACACGAAGCAGGATAGCAAATTAGCACCAAGGCTCAAAGCTATGATATATTAGGTGTACATGTCTGCTGAATATGTCATCCTCTAGAAATTACCTGTCTTTGAAATGATAGTTTCCTGTAAGACTGGCAATGGATTTGAGCTTCTGCAAATTCCCCAGCTTTTGTGTAACAATCCATTCATTGGCCCTGTCAGCTTCGAAAAACCCTATCAAGATGGCTTTAAACCGATGCAGTGCCATTACATTCTCAAATAAGACCCACAGTATAATAAGATGGATAGACCTGCAACACCTTAGGAATTCAGGATATGCAATGTTCTCAAAATAAAACTCAATAAAGCTAACACCAAGCGAACCTTGGAGTCCCAACAGAGTTGAGAAGAATGATAGCTGTGGGGATATAGATCAGCTCCCACACAGGAATCTGCACTTCTGGTAATAGAATGTTTAAAGGAATCAGGACGCTGAAAAAGAAGAATGTGAAGAAGGTGCCTATGATCCTCCGGGCAATGAAGAAGTCATAGATCATATACAACTTCTTCCAAACCGACACTTTCTGCACAGGAAAACAACAGAACATACGGACAAATAATCATATGACAGAATTTTCATGGCACTCACTGCATGTCAGGGAGCAGGTTGGTGTACAAGACTAACCTTGGCAGTTGTAGAATTTGGATTTCCCAGAACATTTTTTTTATTTGAACAGGTTCAAACATGCAATTAGGCTCAAAATGACCAGCAATTTCCCACCAAACTGTGCTTTTTTTTTTTGTTGGGAATGCTCCATGCACGGGTACGCTAAACAAGGGCTAACCTTGGCAGCAAGAATTTCCCAGAACATTTTCTTGAACAGGAGCGCAGGTCCACATGACCAGCGGTGCTGCTGGGACCGGTACGCCTTCAGAGTACTTGGCAGCTCACTCTTAACCTGAATGGAAATTGTAATCTCGGATCAGTTCGATACAGTTTTGTCTGACATGATAGTACCTTGGATCTATTTGTCAGAGGTGTGAACCTTTATGCTTCCAACGTAAACGAACTCCCAGCCCAAGAGCCCTGCTCTCAGTGCCAAGTCCATGTCCTCAGCAGTAGTTCGGTCCTCCCAACCCCCGGACTCGACAATCGCTTGCGTTCTCCATACTCCAGCTGTTCCTGCGTGCATGAATAAATAATATCATTCACATTTCTCGAACACAGCTGAAGTTGACAGCGTGACATGAACAATTGCGAGTTTGCGACGGCGCAGCTGAGGGAGGGAGGGCAGTGGATACCATTGTAGCCAAAGAAGTTGCAGAGGGAAGAGCCGGCTTCCTGCTCCACCTTGAAATGGTAGTCCATGGACATCTCTTGCATTCTCGTCAGCAAGCAGTCGTTGGCATTCACTACAGGGCAGCTTAAACAAAAGCTTTGTCAGCAGATGGAACTACATCTTGATGTCAGACAAAGCAGGACGCAAGCTGGAACTGAACTGGCTGATGAACGTAGATAATTGGGTCTCGTGGAACTACTTTCCTTTCACTAACTAGATGAGGCCGAAAGCTCAACATTGCAAATGGGCCACAAAATCCAAGCCAAGTGCAACATTTCTGTGGCCTGCTTGAAGCCCAGACAGATCGAAGTGAGCCCAAACAGAGACAGCAGCATCTGTCTGGCTCTGTACGCTGCAGTTGCAACGCAGGCAACTTACTTCTGTTCACTTGCCAATAAATTAAAAAGAAAATAATGGCAATCGTTGTCGGCTGCCTGTGCGCGAGAGACTGATGATGACTCACCGAACTTCCAGCGCGTCTGCACGAGCGCGAGGCTGGGGTTGTGGACGAGGAACGGGACGGTCTTGACGAGGAAGTCCGGCGCCGGCTGGAAGTCGGCGTCGAACATGGCGACGAACTCGCAGCCGCGCACGTAGGCGTGGCGCATCCCTTCCTTGAGGTTGCCGGCCTTGTACCCGGCCCTGTCCTTGCGCGTCTCGTACTTGACGTTGATCCCCTCCGCGGCCCACCGCTCGCACTCGCCCTTCACCAGCTCCTGCCCAGCCCAGCGAGTGACATCAATCACAAAACCGAGCTCTGCCGACTACTCGGTCGGCCGTGTGAATTCGACCAAATTGCAGGTTTACGCTTCAAAAGAAAGGGAAAAAATGGCAACTTTTTTTTTTGTCTGGTCTGCACAGTAGCTGTAGGGCCGTGCATTCTTGCTGGCTCCCGGTTCTTGTGGTGCATGCATGTTCCCGTGGCAATTGGCAGGCATTCAAAGTGACAGTGGCAGGTGAAAACGAAGCCTGATCTCACTCACCTTGATGACGGCGTCGGTGGAGTCGTCCAGCACCTGCACTATCAATCGATCTACCGGCCATGTGAGCCTGCAAGCTGCCCCTATTGATAGCTGGTACACCTGCGTACGCGTTTCAGGCTTCCTGTCAGAGATGTGCCCATCCATGATAGATTACTCTGAAAATTTGAAGACAAAACATCCCTTGTTCTGCATTCTGATCCACTTTTACCCTTAACAGAACTATGACCAATGGAGCGTAGTAGTAATGAAAAATTAATTGGTCCAATGCAAACTCTTAAAGATTAATTAAAGAGATTCAGATGCTGCTGTTTAAGGGCTTGAGGATCAGCAGTTCAGCAATTAGCTTACTGATCTGACAGTCTGACTGAACAACCGTCTGAGTTCACCGAGAGCAGCACAGTCCGGAAGGACACAGAGACTCCGGAGACATACGGAGTACAGTACATACCTCCTTCTCGTTGTACATGGGGATCTGGACGAGCACCATGGGATAGGCAGCTGCCTCCTCGTCCGGCCGCGCGATGGGGTCGCACCTGTACACCCGCCACGGCCGCCGGCGCCGCAGCTTCATCACGAGGCTGACCGCGCCCAGGAACAGCTTCTCGGCCAGCACGATCACCGACATAGCCGTGCACAGCACCACCGCGGCACGGAGCAGCGGCACGACCAGCCCGGCCCTGACCTCCGCCCACGCCTGGAGCAGCGCCTCCACGAAGGCGGCGATCGTCGCGGGGAACGAGAGCCGGCCGTACGCGCCCAAGAAGACGACGTCACCGACGGCGCGCAGCGCGTGGCCACCTGCTGCATTGCCACCGGCGCGCCAGCGGGAAGAGGTTAAAAAGGCGTACTACGAATAGCCCATTTAGCAGAAGGAATTGCTACTCGTCCTGGCAGCAAGAAAGAAGCTGAGTGCACGTACCTGCCATGGCTTGCTGCGTGCGTTCAGCGGCGTCGCACTTGAGTTCAGGCACTGCTGGTTTGAGGAGGCAACAACGGTGTTGGTTGTGGCATGGAGATAGAGAGAGACCACAGAGTGGGAGAATTGCCGGTCGAGTTACTGCAAGATCAGATTGACTAAATAGGCGCCGTCTGAGTCAGATCTAGGGTACACGCGACTCTGGTCTCTCTCGCATGCGGCTGGCTCACTGCAGTGGTTGTTAGCCTGAGTCAGTTTGTCAGCATCTGCGCGATCGCGGACCTATATGCAGTACTATATTAATTTGATGGATTCCTACTCTGGTTCCATGCGCACGAGAAATGGTAACAAGGTTTTCTCGTCACACGTTGCCATGTGAGCCCTGCGGGGATAGACTAGTGCAGGTTTTGGACGCTCTGGCCAGTTTGTGCAGCGGAGCAGAGCCAAAATGACCGCATCCAATGGACAGTGCGGTTGGTTGGCTCGGCTGACTGTGTCGAGCGTCGACCGAGCTAGTAGGCCCATGCATTTGCTACGAGCTAGAGACAGGGTCCGCTTGCATGCAGTTGAATTGCTTGTGACAGCCTGTGGGATAGCTACGCGCAATTTCAGTGACGTTCGCAGCAACGTGTTTGGTGCATCAGATTAATTGCAGCGATGGATAGATGCTTAACTACTCGTAATCGTAGCAGGCACGCATCTTTGAGTGTGTGCCAATTATTGGACCACGTCCTTATTATTATTATGTGCCATCGTAGAAAATCTTTGCCGTTGATGGCTACTAGGGTGCATATGCTTGCTTCGGGCACGCCGGGAGAGCCGGTGCCCAGTGGCGGCTGAGATCACACGATTAATGTATCAAATTAACAAGATGGTCCACGCATTTACATAGCTAGTGTCCTGTTAAATTCTTGTGCTATGGCTTTGTTTGAATACATTAGCGGCTAATAATTAGCTAGCTAATAGTTCATAACTAATATTAGCTAGCTAACTAGTCTCGGCTCCCCTCCTTTTTTGTTTGGCTCCTTTTGTATTGAACTACTACTTTTTCTTTAATAAATTACTGTAGGGGCCGGCCCCTCCAGATTCATAAAAAAGCTAGCTAACTATTAGATGCTATTAGCTAGTTTTGTTCAACTAGTAGGATATTAGTTAGTTGTCATTCAATTAACAATTGGCTTAACTATTAGTCGAATCCGTTGGATCCAAAGGAGCTAATTATTAGCAGCTAACTATTAGCTCTATGGATCTATGCATGCCCTATATCTTGCATCTTGTGTGCTTTCAAATCACTTCATTAGTAATTACTGTTTATGTCTATTGTAGTTGGAAATAGTTGTTCTGTCATAAAGGAACTACATGCTACATCTTGCTTTATTGCTTTGGTTCATATCACAATCTTGACTCTTGAGCTATATATCAATACATGGGACCTAAACTTTGTTTAATTTAGTACCACATATTGTTTGTACAATTCACTCATATCCCGCTTTGCAGACTAATGACATGATCGATGGTCCTTTTTTCTCGTGAGATGTAAAAGTTTTACCATCAACTATACAAATTACACCTTGCTTAGTTGCCTGGTCCACATTACAACCTCATGCTAAAGGCCTAAGCATAGTGCAAGCAGGTAATGTTGTTAATTATTTGATTCTCTTCTCTCTATTGCTTGTCTTAGTTATCTCTTTTTCTTGTTGTAGAGTGTGCATCAAACTAATAACTCATATGTAAGCAAGAGAAGCAAGTCACATTTGTAACAGTTTAAGGGCGACCCTACTGAGTTTGCATGTCAATGAGACAATGGTGGGCGGGTCAACTCTACACAGGTTCCCGTTCCCCCACAGTAAGGCATATTGAACTTTGTTTCCTATACTCTTGTGCCCAATTTATAGGACCTGTTTCCTAATTGATGTCACAATCAACATTCATGGTTCTCATTTGGTATCACAATGTTTTTGTTGGTATCATATAAGTGATTCAATCACGCAATGCACACATCATGGGGAGCTTGATCTATAGCTTGTGTAGTTTTAGGAGTAACATGTGTTCAAGTCTATTGTATGTCCCATAGATTGAGGCAAAAAGGAGGGAAGGTGAAGAAGAATACTATACTCCCCAAATGGATTGTGCTTCCTAATTGGAACGATGGTAAAATATTGCCCACATGTACAACTTTGCTACTAATACCTCTCTTTGTGTAAATTTCATGTCGAGGAAAATGTACACTTGAGGACCTTTTCGGGATGGATGAGGAAGGGGGAGAGGATGAAACTAATGCAAGCTTTCCTTTGGATAGATGAAAATCAAAGCGAGATTCCATAAGTTTTGGTGGAGAAATGGAAGGCTTCAACACAAAGGAAGCAAGGCAAAGGAGAATATCAAGGATTAAGAGGGAGGGAATACACCTAGGCCTCATTTGAGAGGCTCAATCCAAGGGGCCATCCTGACATTTCCCTAGGAAACCCCCACCCTTCACACACGTGCAGAATTAGCCCCTAGGCCACCTAACTATGGCAGAACCGCCCGAAATAGCATGCTTCCGGAGGCGCTCGCCTTCCACCAGACGCTAAGCACCCCGAAAGTAAGCTACATCGGATGGTTCCGTTGAGCACACCCCAAGGGAGAACTCGAACAATCCATGTTTTTCACCTAGGATTCAATAATGAGAATGAGTTTACATCACTTAGTCTATTTCATACAACAATAGTTCTCAAAAATACATTATTACAATACCAAGTTTAGTGTGTGGAATTTAAACAACGGAATTGAAATAAACATCTAACGATAAGATACAAGGATCTATTTGCGCCCACCAGAAGAATCCTCCACACAACAGCCACTCCTCAAGTTGCACCTGTAACAGAGGTAAATAAACCCTGAGTACACAATGTACTCGTAAGACTTACCCGACTAGTGAGAATAATTTTCCGATTCCAAAGGATATGATAAGCTTTATAGTTTGCTGGGTTTCCTTTTTGCGAAAAGCATTACTAGTAGTGAATCCTTAAATATGTTTCGTATTAGCAGTTATGATTAGTTCATTATCTAACCATTCTATGTAAGCACATGTTCTACTTTCAAGCAAGAGTTGAGCAATCAGATCCATTCATTCCCTTTCATCTTTCAGTTCATACTATGATGCTAGATCGTAGCCAAGCCATACCGTATCATACGATGATTCGCGAACCAATGTACCCTAGCTGGGTACCCCAAAACACATGCCCCGCTTGTACCCCCGACACAAGCAAGACCAACCCACCACTCTCCTGTCAAGGGGTCCAGGTCCCTGTCCAAACTTAGACTCCAAGCCCCCACTCCTGAGTCCCGGACTTAGTATGGTGCTTAGACCTCCACCATCCCCGCCTCCAATCAGTCATTCCAAAAAGAGCCAGAACCCACAACAAGAGAGCAACGAGCCTTCCCGCTCTCATAAGTAAGTATGTGCTCAGGATAATAAGTCTGTGACCTGACTAGAATCTACTGCAACGAACGGTCCTTAACCGACACAGATAGGGAAAATAGTGTAACCAAGCTATGCCCCGTTGGCCATGGGACACAACCTATTACACCCACCAATACCCGTACCATATCCCTGCCCAGTCTCCATTTCCTTTTACCATTTTGTCATGAGAGTAATAATAATCACCTATTATGAGTAACGGTAGGTAACTCACGCTATCGATAGCCTAAGCATAGCAGCTACTCGACCTATGCTAGTAGGACTCACAGGTAGGTTTATCTATGCATGTAGTTTTAATATAGATCCTGTAACGGAAATGCACATCGCATATATATATATATATTCAGTGATTATAAAAAATAAGAGTTATGCACCGGGGCTTGCCTTGGGCAGGTGGATTGTCAGCTAAGTCAGTTAGTGATAGCTCCAGGACCTCCTTCTGCATGAGGATTTCCTCCTTGTACTCCTCGATCACCTCCTCGTACTCGTGATCGCCGGTGGTCACGATCTCCATCAACTCGTTCTCTATATGCATGCAATGGTGATGCAACACTTAGTATTTATGCAACAACAACTCTTAAAATAAGAATACACATGCTAAGCTACTAACCTAGCTCTAATGACTAAGTCACTAAGCTAACTATCATCTTTACCAAATAGATTCCAAGCTCACCCTACAAGTGCTTAATTTTTATAAACCAATATCATGCCATTATTCATTTAGCCTTAATGGGTATTTAGCTACCATATTAAATAGTCTATTTTAGGGCTACCAAAATTATAGTGTGCACATAATAATACAATCAAGCTACTATAAAAATTTTAGGGTTTTTGCTATCACCAATCTATCACAAAAATTCCTACAATAATTAACTTAATAATATTGAGCACTCTCAAATGATTTAATAGCTTCTGGTATCAACAAGCACATATATGAACTAAATATACTAACATATAGAGCACAATTTTAGAAACATAATAAAATTTGTTTCACAGTTTTTGGATACCTACATGATTTTATATGATTTACCAAAGATCAGCTCAAAAATTATATTAGAAAACTATTTCTAATTCCTCATGAAAAAGAAAAATGTATTCTCTCGCGTGGCCCACACGTGCGGCCCACGCGGCGCCGACCCGCGTGGAGAAATCCCGCGCGCACTACGCTTTTACAAAATAATCCTCACACTCCTCCCAAATTACAACTAGGTACTAACACTATTTCCCCCTATCTCGTAACTTCTCACTTAACCCCCTGGACTTTCCCTAATTCACCCATGCGCACCCTCGGTGACTCCGTGCACGGCGGCACAGCGAGCGGCGGCACTGGTGACATCGCCGACCACCCTGGACCCTTGCAGACCTAGCTAGGGGACCGATGCTCACCTATGGGCCGACGCACGGCGATGGGCGGTGGTTGCATGAACGGGGGTGAAGCAGAGTGGGCTCTCCCCAGCGGCGGGTGACCTACAATGGCGGCAACCGCGTTCCGGTGAGCCACAGCGCTAACAGAACGGTAGAGATAGGGAATAAGCAGCAGGGGCACA